CGTTGGACTACTTGAAGCTTCAGAACAGTCTTCAAAGGCAACTCCACATAGAGCACATTGCAGTAATCTGAGATGTAACGAGAGCATGGACCACTGTGGCCAAGTCTGACTTGTAGTTCCTACATATCTATAGACTAACAATTTGAAAGAGACTATCCTTGGGTCACCTCTAACTATATCTTTTAGTCAAGTTATACATAACTGTGTGACCAAATACATTTCAGTCACTTTAAATATGCACACTTTGTCGTATTATGGATTATACCATATATTCTGAGGATCTCTTAACTGGTCCCTAAGCCTCCTCTAAAAAAATGTATACTACTAATAGCTGTTTGCAATACTTAGTTCAGGAGTTAGGCATCCTTTATTGTTAGACACTGAATCTATTTCTACATTTTCCTATGTATTTAATATAAAGCCAAAACCCATGAAAAGCATAGAGGAGCGTAACTTGTTTTATTTTCATGTTTATCACTGTGGTTTCAAGACTAAAAATAAAATGTAGCATCTGACTTTGATTTAGATCTGTCCCTAGGGAAAACCCGGAGCTGCCTATCACTGCAAATGCATCAATCTAAGAAGGATTAACTGTTCACATGCTCTTTAAACATCAAAGTGTTTATATGAAGTCATGGAAAATGAGTAATTTGTTTTTTTCATTCTCTCTGAGAACACTGCACACCTCTTAGAAAGTAAATAATCTTTTATGTTAAGAAAACAAGAAAAGATTAATAGCATTCACCCCATGATAGAACAGCGTGCTTTTAAGTAAATTACCACCAATGCGGCTTCTATCAGTGCAACTGGAGTTTGTTGCCACTTATCAGCTTCATCAACTCACGGTATCGATGCCCTTTGTTCCCTGTTAAATAATGAGCAGACAGACATGATTGTTCTCTACAAGATTAGTTGTATGCATTATGGCACATCATTTGCGGTTTCTGGGAAATAATTAGCCGTACTTAATTGCCCTGTGTGTCAGGTGTGCCCACCATCCTTTTTAGCATTTGGTTCTGCATGGCTAAACCTATCTCTTTTAATAGAGAAGAGTGCCGTCATTAATGATACAAATATGGTACTTGATCCATATTAAGGAGGTTGTTGTGCGAGTCACTAAATTATCACTGCACCACTTCCATGGTTCAGCTGAAAACAAAATTTCTTCCTCCCCTTTGACTGTTGTTTCTGTTCTGCTGTTCTTTCCATCTTCCCAGCAAACAACACTCTTTTGTAGCTTTACAACATGCTATTCTTGCCCCTCGTAATGAGACAAGAAGTCTATTCCTACTTCCCTGGTCAGAAATGACCATATTTTTAGCTGCCACTGAAGATAAAATTGGGACTCATATTGCTCTGGTTCTCTGAAGGAGTAGGAAAACCATTATTGAGCCAGAAACACATGTAGTTTTATTGCAAACCAAAACATAAAACCTCCACGACCGGGTTTGCACTGTAACACTCAACTCTTCTCATTTTCAAGCATGCTAAGAATGTCCCACTCACACAATAGAAAGTTTCAAATTACCATCAAAGATATGGAAAATTTGGAAATTGCAAACAGTCCCTGCAGTTCATGTCTCAAGTCTGAATATGTCAATTTACGGTAACACAGCTATGGGTTGCTGCCTCAAAATGGGAGCAATTTCAAATCAGGCTCCATAGGAGATGGAAGTTTCGAAGCCTGACTTTCCAGTGGATTCAGTTACTTTCCAGGATTGCTAATGTAAACTTTCAGTGTGTCTGTAATGAAAGAAAGGAAAAAAAATAGTTTAAGGGCGAGTGGTTCTGTTTAAAATCAGCAGCTATACAGCTTTTTTCATGTGGTAATAACAAAATATCCCTGAAACATATTGTCCTGAGATGATGGCTGAATGTTTGGATTGGTTATTCTGTCTCGTGCAGTTAACTTTTCCATTCCTGAAAACTACAGAGGGAGGCTTGCTGAGAATCTGCAGCCTTTTCCAGATATCCCTCAACCTTTCAAGCCCTTGTGGAGACCAGGGCCACAAACGGCTCTGGGAAGAAGTAGCAAACCATGCGACTCATCATAAATTAATGGAGTGGAAAATCAAGGCTTTGATGAACATAAGGCCACTATAAATGAAGCATGCAATATGAATGAGTGCAGCTTCTTTGTGGGAGAAGCACAGTGGTGGACAATTTAATGAGGGAAAGACATTGATAGACACCTCTGAGCATTTTTTTTATGTTTGCGAAAGACAAGGTAAAGAAACGCCTTGTGAGAAAACTTCTTGGCCATTTTAAGGTGTAAAACTAATTGTATATTGCATGGTGTGGTTAGTTGTCTCAATAAACATGTCATATAACTTAGAATGCTTTGTGCTGAAAATCACGTTGCACACTGTTTATCAGTTCTAATTATGCAAGTTAGTTGTGTGTTAGTAAAATCAAAGTGGAAACCCTGAATATTTTTATGTAGACTAACTTAATTTGTACAGTTTATACAGTACTTGATTTGTGCACCTACCTTTTATTGAAAAGGAAGTTTCCCGTAGTTACCCTTTTTCTAGTGTATTTGTTTGCTTTGTTTAAGCTAACACATACAGTGATAACAGGCGAAACTATTTTGAAAATAATAACTGATAGATATAGAAGTAGGTAAAGGTACCTATAGAAGTAGGTAAAGGTAAAGGTTTTCCCCTAACATTAAGTCCAGTCATCTCCGACTCTAGGGGTTGGTGCTCGTCTCCATTTCTAAACTGAAGAGCTGGCGTTATCTGTAGACACCTCGAAGGTCATGTGGCCAGAATGACTGTATGGAATGCCGTTACCTTCCCGCCAGAGCGATACCTATTGATCTACTCACATTTACATGTTTTCGAAGTGCTAAGTTGTCAGAAGCTGTAACTAACAGTGGGAGCTCACGCCGCTCCCCGGATTCAAACCTGCAACCTTTCGGTCAGCAAGTTCAGCAGCTCAGTGCTTTAACCCACTGCGCCACTGGAAGGATCTGGAAAGATTTTGCAATCATCTTACTTTATTTTTATGATTGAACCCATTTCCAAGATTGATGTTTGTTGATTTCAGTTTCTTTTTCCTTCAGCATTGGTCTATACATGTCGTTCTGTTACTTAATTGAGAGCTGGACTTGGTAGTGAGAACATAAGTCAGTCTTATCAGATTCTGCACTTATTTATTTGTGAACACTGTGATCCAGTTAAATAAACCAGAATGTTATTTATTTATTTATCTTTCTATTTATAGTATTTATATCCTGCTCTTCATTGACAACAGCATACAAATTGGTATTTTAACTGTTTCTAGTTCTCTGGTTTACAATCTAAATCTAACCCTTTGATAATTCTTTGCAGGGTTTGAGATTTTAGCAATCTCCTTAGACTCTAATTTTGAACAGTGGTGTTAAGAGATGTTCCTGATCAGTTGAAAGGCAGAACAGGGATTCTGCCTGTGCTGGATGGGATTATACTCTTCATGAAATCTTAGGCTCACAACTTGGGTATACTCTTGAACTAAACCCTGAACTTGGGGTGCTGAGCTTTCAGAAGTGTCCAGGAGTGTGTTTGCACAGTTAAGATTGGCACACCAATTATACCCATTCCTTGAGAAATTAGATACACCTTGGTTTCATCCTGTTTGGACTAATGTAACACACTTTATGTGAAGTTGGCTTTGGTAACAGCAAATGATGCAGTCGGAATACTGACTGGGACTGGTTACAAGGATCATATAAGTTGTTTGTTAAAACATCTTCACTGTCTGTATGTTTATCTCTGGGCATAACACAAAGTGATAAAATACGTTTATTGGTATGTAATGATGGCAGTAGCTTCAATTGAATTATAGACTTTACTGTTTTATGACAAGTTCAGTCATATGCTCAGTGCAGCATAGTGTTCAGTTCTGAGAGATAGCTAATACTTCATTACTACTAGATATAGGTTTCCTTTTATGACAATCTGAAGTGAGGTTTTAAAATCTTGATGAGGAATTCAGTTGTTATTGTGTTTTGGCTCAAAGAGATTCTCTTGGAACAAAATAAACATTGTAATCGTAGTTCTATTTTACTGATGTCTACAAATTGTATTTATAGTTTGGGGTTGGGACCCAAAGCTTAAGAAGCAGTGGCCCATAGAGAATAACCCTTCAGAAAATGTGATAAGACATTATTCCTCCATATGAGCCTATCCAGACCTTGAGATATTATGGGGAGGCTGTTCTGTCTCTCCCTCCCATTCCCTGTCAGGCACATGAGATGACTTTCTTGGGAGCTCCTCTTAGAATCTGGAACTGTTTGCCAATGAAGCTAGACAGACTCTCTGTTCTGTATCTACTGACAGCAAGAGACCTTCTTAGAAAATCCATGCAAACTTTTGGCAGGTGACCGGCTGCTGAGAACAAACTTGTTGTTACCACTTGGGTGGGCAAACTAAATAACCTGAAGGCACCAGATCCCATCTGATCGTGGAAGCTAAGAAGGGTTAGTCCTGGTTAGTTGGATGGGAGACTGCCAGGTGCTGAAGACTATATTTCAAAGGAAGGAACTAGCAAAATCACCTCTGAGTAGTCCTTCCCTAAGAAAAGCCTATGTCATTCATGGGGTCACCATAAGTCAACAAGTGATTTGAAGGCACATATAGACACACAATAATTTGCTTAATGTTTTAAAATTGTTCAGTGTGTTTCAAAATGATGGACCCAATGGATCTAGTGGTAATCATTTCAAACTCTATGACCCAGCCTTTCACGTAGTAAGAGGTTCATTCACAGGTTGTGGATGGTTGCAGAAATACAGAGATTTCAAATCAGGTTCATCTTTTTGAAACACCCTGTACTTTAAACTGTGCTTTTGATTTAGTTTTGTCATAATAGATATTCTTATTTGTTTTTCTGTGTGTGTGTGTGTGTGTGTGTGTGCCATCTTTAATTCCATTATAGTAGAACATGTACCTAATAAATACTAAAAATAAATGAGACCAAGTATCACAAATTTCTTTTCTTTTATTTGTATTCTTCAGAGTACACGAGTGGCCTTGGATCATTTGGAGTCTGTTCCAGAGAAACTGAACTTTTTGGAAGATTCCAGAGATTTGGGAGTGAGACTCTTTTGCCGTTTGTTTCTTTAGAAAATATTTATTAAAAATAAGTTGTGATTAAAATATTTAACATCATCTTGTACAATAGGAAATCAGCTGTGTTGGGACCCTTAAAATCCAGGTATATTTTAAACTCTTCAATTTACTTGGATTTTCTTTATATGGGTGGATAGATCTATTCTTTACCTCTGTTCATGTACTGTCTGTTCTTGTTAATTGTATAATGACATTGAATGTTTGCCATATATGTGTACTGTAATCTGCCCTCAGTTCCTTCAGGGAGATAGTGCAGAAAATAATTAAAGTATATTATTATTATTATTATTATTATTATTATTACTATTACTATTACTATTACTATTATTATTATTCTAGAACAGCTTCCCTATCTGCCAACCATTTTTTTCTGATGGAATATCCCCTAAGATAAGTCCTTTTAGCTTCCCTTGATTCCTATTCCAAAGTGCTGGATATTTTTTAAAAAACAAACAAACAGGGTTTTTAAGGTTGGATAATATAATTAGAGATTATATCTTCTCATTGCCAAAGTTTCTGATCTGTTCGCCATATTTTGATAAGCTGATTTGTTTTGTATTAGCTTGTCAGCAGCTTTTACTTGTGTTAATATTTGAAAAGTTGTTGGTTTGGTTGGGTTTATTGAGAGATAATACTATTCAGTCCCCAAGAACAGCTTCCCAAATGATGACACACAGGATGCTTAAGGTTTCACAGTTGGCATTACTTATTGATAAGCCTGTAAAGACTACAACATCAATAGGAAAGCTGTTTGAATATCAGGCTTGTTCATTATGTTGGGTAAATATGCCTTTCTGTACTGGGGACAAAATTCATGCTAGATATTTAAAATGCAAAATATCTCAGTAGTTCTATTCCATTGTTTGCTTTTCTTAATTAGTACCATGCTTCGCATATGACATGGGTCACAAGGCTCTAAACAATCAAAGTACTTAAGCAATTCAAAGTCCCACTAAAACAAATTAGTTCACTAAGTAGGAACTGAATTTTTTAATGTCATTTTGAACAGGTGCTTAATTGCTCTGCTGGATGAGTGAAACTATCTAAATAAATTCAGGGTGATTTGCTTGAATTAAAAAGTCAGTTTGAGAGACTTCCATCTTGTATCGTCTTGTTCAAATGTTGACAAAACAAGGCAGGAATGAGGAAACTGAGAGTTGTATTGAGTTCTCATTCTGACATTCAATCAGAACAAGATAACGCATGTAATTGTTTATACTTTGGGGGATTCCAGCATGGGACTGTCCTCAGTTCCAGGGCAAGTTTGAGAGAAACAGGAAGGGGAATGGTAAGTGAAAGATATCAGCAGCTGGAGAGACCAAGTTCTTCATTCAATAATAAACTACCAAATTTCCTTTTTGAGTTGGAGCAGCAGCGTGGCCTCTGTAGAAGTAGAAATCTTTTGCTTGTCTATGCCCACCTGGTCCTCTTGATTCTTGAACTGAAGATTTCCAACTCCAGAAACATCCAGGAATAAACATATAAAATAAGAACATGTACAAATCCCCCTTTTGGCTTAGAAGTCCCAGAATCCCTCAGCCTGGGACTAAAACAGTTTTATTTTAAACGGTGTCAGTACAGTGCTTGTACAAAGGGCTGTGTGTGTGTGTGCCTTCAAGTTGCCTTCTGATGTATCATGATCCCATACATTCCATAGAGTTTTCTTAGGCAAGAAGTACTCAAAGGTGGTTTTGTGAGTTATTTCCCCTTAAAAATAGCCTACAGTGCCTGGTGTCTGCCACCAAGTATTAACTAGGACTGTCCCTACTTAGGTTCTTTTAGAGCAGTGGTTCAAAACCTGGGAGTCCCCAGGTGTTTAGACCTACAACTCCCAGAAATCCCAGCCAGTTTACTAGCTCTTGGGATTTCTGGGAGTTGAAGGCCAAAACATCTGGCGACCCACAGGTTGGGAACTACTGTTTTAGAGTTATTAGGTAGGGCTGTGTTGCACAAGGCTATTCAATGTTATATGTTGAATAGCCAGTTAATCAGACAACTTTCTGTGACATCTACATATATCAGAATCTTAAGTATTCCACTTTATCCCATGAACATAATTTTGTCAGCTTCACTAGTGTTAATATTTCATGTTAATGCTGGATTTTTGTTTCTCTTTGACCACAGGGTTCTCACACTCAGACAGAAGTTATTGCCGAGAGATGCAGTAAATACAAGGAAATTGTGGGCTCTTTACAGCAGCATTTGGAAGACTCAAAGCGCAGACTTGAAGACTTCAGGGTAAGTTTACATCCTATCTCTTTAGTCCACCTTTGTTTGTGAAACAACTAAAGAAATAAGCTGTAATTGCTAGACTCTACAAAATGTTTAATCTCATAGAGCAAAGGGCCAATTCTATTCATTGGAAGTATATAAAGACTTCAACTCATCTTGGTAGGTCAGACGAAAGACTCCGAAATGCCAGCACTGTGTCTCCAACAGTGACCTAGTAAGTTCGTGCAGTAAAAATAGTTGTTCTCTTCTTTGTTTGTCCCCAGCTTCTGATAATCAGAGCTTGTCAGCCTTTAAACAACACAGAGGTTTCATTTTATCTCTGTTTAAAAGGCAACAATAGCCTTATTCTACATGAATTTATCCAATGCTGAAAAGTGTAATGGTCTTTGAGATGTTGTTGACTTGGAGCTCCCTCTACATTGGCTACACTAGCTGGGTCTACTGAGATTTGCATTTCAACAACATCTGCAGGAAACACAATTTCTACTTCTACTGTAGTCTAGATATGTGTATAGATGTGTACTAGATATTAAGAATTCTATACACTTCTGATTCTACTAAAATGTTCCAACAATTCTCAAACCTTTTCATCCGCAGAATCCTTTCGAAGAAACGTTTCTCATGGATCCCCAAGAAATGTTTATATATTATATATAATGTGTATAAAATTAGGCATGGGCCAGGCCAGTGGCAGATGGATGGAGAATGTTGGTATGAACTAATTCACACAGTGCAAAAAAAGAAAAAAAGAAAAAGAAAAAAGAAGACAATACAATATTTAAAATGAAGAACAATGTTAACCAAAATAAACTTAACAGTATTTCAGTGGAACGCCACAGGGGGCATCCAGTCCAGTCCCCTTCTGCCATGCAGGAAAAACACAATCAAAGCAGCCCCTGAGTGGTGGCAGGGAAATAGGATTTTGGAAGCAAGGAAAGGGGATGGGGGAACGCCTGGGTGGCAAGAAACATAGTCTGGGCAGTGGGAGAGAAAGGGTCTGTGCCTCAGGAGAATGCTAAAGCTGCTTTGAGCAGCTCCAAACTTTAATTTCCCTGCATTTCTCAGGAGGAGGAAAGAGGAGGAGGCGGGGGAAGCAGCATAATGCCATGGAGCCCCTCACTATCACCCCTCATTTAGACAATAAAGTCTATGACACGGGCATCTCTTTAACCCATGTGATATTCCTTTTTGTCATATTTGTTTACAAATGGAATAAAATGATCCACAGCAAGTAAGAAAAGTATTCATTGTTTGTTTCGCTGACTGGCTTGAAATAGTCTGCAAATATCTTTTCATTGCTCCCCTCTCTTGATCTCCACAGAAACTGTCTTATGTGAAAATTAGTGAATCGGTCTAATTTTGTTTCTTTTTTGTTGCTGTCAAAAGAACACAACACTTACTCCTTTCTTTTCCAATGCTCTTGATGTGCTTTCAAGTATCCCCTTACAATTTCTAGGTTTTATCCATGTCCAGGACATTGTGCAAAATCCCCCAAGGAATGTTTTCTTTCAGATTCTGAGAAACTTTGCTTGTCTTATCAAAGAACAGTAAATTTTATTCCAACAAAATGTCCCTAAAGGGGAAGCTCAGAAATGAGGCACCCCTCTAGAAAAGACTACCCGTTCCTGGTACTACCTGTCTAATCTTCAAGTGGAGGCACCTTGAGCACAGACTTTAAAAAAATACTGAAAGGAATGACAGACTAGTGAAGCCATTTAGGGCTTTAATTCTAGAACAACAAATTGGTTTTAGAAACTACTTAGAAGCCAGTGGATAATACTGAGAAAACATGTACAGTCTGGTGAGCCAAGATTAGTTGTCTGACTGCAGTGTACTGGGCAATCTGAAGTTTCTCAAAGCCAACCCATGTAAACTCAATGAAAGAATCTAAGCTACTTGAGTTTGGATAACTGACTCTAATATCATCTAAGTTAGATAACTACATTGTGTTGCATGTCCAGCTGTCTTTCAACGGTCCTCAAAGTGTAAGATAGTTCAAAAACCTAAACAATTGCGTTTAATTATATGTATTGGGCAGGTTTCAACAAATTTAATAATTATTGGACAAAGTTGAAATGAGAGCCCTAATTCAGAAGACCCAAGCAAATTAGGACATATTCAAGAGAGACATAAAGTCATGCTTCAAAGATTGGGTTTTAATTCACCAGTTCCTAAATCCTTAGTCTTTCTTACCTCCTATTTCCTTCTCCTGCTTCTCCTGATTTAATTTATAAATGTACTTCATCAGCAGGGACAGGAAAGCTAGCACCAAGGTAGAACATGTTTAGGAACCTCTATCTTCATCAAAAACACTGTGCTCTGTAGTTGTAAATTTCTGATATTACTGTAGGTTCCCAGATATTTCCAGATCCCTTCTTTTGGTCACTGGGCCAACTGCTGCTTCTGCAACAGCATGTTTATTCCTCCTGTCTTGTAGGTTTCTATGACTTAGCAGAAACAACAGCCCACAATATAGGGAAGGAATGGTAAGGAGGTCTTGTTGGCCCACTCTATCTGAAAGTTCTGATAATGTTCATTGAAAAGTCCAACTTATCTAGAAAAGCTATCAAAAAGATTGGGACATTTAGAAGTCAAGATTATGGTGTGAAAGGTTGCCTCTCACTAGTACAACAGTGCACATACGTTTCACTACATCAATTAGGCAGATCATACAAAGCCTTAAGGTAGATCTTACAAGGCCATTTTTCTTACAATACCACTCCTGTCAGTGGGATCCATATCATCTGCTGCATCTTCTCATGCACCCTCAAACATGCTTCAGAGAACTAGAAAAGATCCATACTCAAGTGATGGGTTAATTTTTAGGAAAAAGAATGGACAACTTCATTTTCCAAGAAGTCCTCTGACATTTTTCCTTTCAGATTATAGTGCTGCCTTTTTCACAAGTGCATGAGCAGCAAATCAGATTGCATCCTTAGTGCTGGGTTTGCATTAGCAAAATGTCAGACAGGTATTCTGCTCTTTAGATTTTTTTCAGTGTGGAATAATATATTGAGCTGGTTTATTTGAAAACACTTGTTTTGTGGTGTAACAAGCTGGGTAAGTTATCATTCACTCAGTGCCACTTTGCAGGTTCTTTGGATGAGAATGAGATTCCTATTTTATTCCACATGTTGCCCTAGATATGTGCAGAACTCTCAGCACGTACAAGAGACGACCTCTCCCAGAATTCTAAGTGTTGACAAGGACACAGAATCTGGAAGGAAATCAGATTTAATGCTAACAAGTAGATTTACATTCTGAACACTGAAGCCAGATTTTATCAGTTTAAAAGAATTTTGCCACATTATATAACCCTGGCTTTAGGCTGTTTTTAATCTCAAAAGATAAAAGGAAATACATCAAAATGAAGCCTTTCATAGGAAGATTTTCATTGCTTCTTACAGGATAAGAAAACTGGGGCTGATATTTCTGCTATACAAGGTGCATCTTCCAACTGGCGAACCAATACCAGCTTTATGTCCAGCTCTTTGCTTTCCAATTCAGGATGTAAGTATAGATCTTCTGTAGCAAGTGGAATAATACAGTGATTTCCCCATTGAGATAATTAGAGCTTTATTCTAATTTCCTAAAATACTTCATTGGTACATTTTGAAAGATGTGATGGTTTCCAGCAATGAAAATGCACATAACCCTGTCTAGAATATTTAATATGAAGAAGTCAGTTGGGCCAACTGGTGTCCCTTTCTTGCCAGCAAATAACCTTCCCCTCTTGGGTGAACTTAATGAGGCTGTTCTCAAGAGAATGAGCATGTCTTCTTCCATCTTCCAAATGGATGCTACCACCTTGGATTTTATTTTCATCTGAATAGCTTGTGTATGTGTGTAAGATATTTCAAGACAATAACAACTTGGGTAATAATCTTAACTGAGGCTGTGTTTGAGACCATCAACATAAAGAACATTTTTATTCAGGAATTTAATATACTCCCAATTCTATGGGCAAGAAATTAAATTGGTTCATGAAAGGGACTTGCAAAAATATGATTTATTCTTGGCAATAAACCAAAACTTTTTGTTTATGTGAATTCATAAATAATGTTGTGCTAAAATCCCAAATAAATCATGATTCTTGACATCTTGCATTAAATTCTTCAGTGGCCCATCTCAGCTGTGATATTTGTGTAGTGAAAACTTAAGGAGAAAATCCATGCAGCATAATTCTATTACTATTCTATTTGGTCATGAACTAGAACACATCCCATCTAAAGGATTTCTGAATGTTTAAATTGTTACTTGAGAAAATATTACTTCAGTTTGTAAGTGGTTGGCATAGTGCCTTTCTAAATATAAACATTAGAATGCTACATGAAACAATAATTGTTGGCTGTGTTGTTTTGTAATGCCATCTCTCTCTTTGATGGCATTGCCTCAGTCTTTGAAGGAGATACATTGCAATAAGGCTTCATGGGTCAGTGTGATGGTATATGAAGCACAAAATATTTTCTAGCAACCTTGTACAGTGCCAGCCATTCACTTTCCCATTTAACATCAGACAACATGGAATTAGACATGTTATTTCTATGAATGTTTCTAAAGCAGAGGAGAGTGTTTTCTTTCATTGTTCAATATTCTTCTCCATCCAGTTTATGCTGCTTGGGCTTGTTCCAATAGAAATATGGTAGCCAATCAATACAACAGTAGGAATAGAGGAAGAGTGCATTGCAGGTGGATAGACTCAATCAAGGAGATTATAGTCCTGAATCTGCAGGGCCTGAGAAGGACTTTTGATGACAAGGGGTCTTGGAGGTTTAAGCCCTCTTGAAGGCATTTAACAAAAGCAAGAGTGCAGGTAAAGGAAGGATATTCATAGCAGAGTACACCTGGGAAAGATTATATGGTTTTATTGTATGTTTTTATAAACTTGCTTTACATGTTTTAAATTATACATTGTATACTGTTACGGCATTGAATGGCTGCCGGTTGTAAGCTGCCTTGAGTCATGTTCGGGTTTGAGAAAGGCGAGATAGACATAGCGTAAATAAATAATAAATAAAGATGGAAATATAACATTCAACATTATTGTTTTGTTGTTGTTGTTGTTGTGGAATGGCTTTAGTGACACTTTGGAAACCCAGCTGGGAAGAATGATACAGTAGTGAGAATTTTATGCAGTTTCACCTTTTATTCTGCTCACTCTGAAGTGTTTCAGAAAATTGTTCTGCACAGAAATATATGTAGGTTTGTTTGTTTAATTGGTTTTTTGCATGAGAACTGTAGGGGTTTGCACAAAAAAAAAAAAAAAGTTTCCAGGCTGGCCTGTGCATTTTCTGTGTGTGATGACTGCTTTCTGTTGGGGCAGAGGGCAATAACTTAATTAATAAAAGTGTCTACAAAAAGAGAACCTTTCCTACAAAAGGTAACACTAAAAATCTTATGCAAAAATCTCGTACAAAAAAAATTAGTTATGCAAGCATATAGATGGAGTTTAGCTATATGCATGGAATAGCATAGAGGGGCAAGAGCTTACTGTTAGTTTGCTATAGGAAGCATGGGCAGTATACAGTCTGTAAAGCTTGATGAATGCATGGATCATTTCAGTGCTAAGTGATCCTCACATATGTCAAAATACAAGTTTAATCAACCTCTGGCAGGAGACCTGAGCAGAACTATAAAATCTTGCCCTTTTGAAAATCTGCTGCATTTTTATTATGATCCATATCTGTTACAATGATTTCCTGAAGATCATATTCATTTGGCACAGGTTATGTATCATGGGAGTTTCTAATGATTTATATCAGACCCAAGGTGACCATTATGACTGCTTGAATTTTAATCCAAGCTAGTAAAGAATTTCACTGTAATTTTCATCCCCAGGGAATCTCCAGCAAAGCCCTTTCTGTTCACTTTCCTTGTTGCCCTTCCTTCCCGGTGTTTAATTCTGCTTCAGCTGTCAGCTAGGATTATGAACTCTCTGGGGTTTTTTTTGCTTTGGTTAGAAACATTTATAACTTGTGTTTCCTTTAATGAGCTCAAGACAGGATACATAGCTTTCCTTCTCACAACTTTAACCTGTGAGGTGGGTGAAACAGAGAACATATGACAACCCAAGATCATCCAATGACAATGGGACTATGACCTGCATCTATGAAGGAAAGAAAGGAGATTTGCAGATAAAAATTGAGGGGAGTCAGAGGCTCACTGTAGTAGTTGTAACAGAAACTAGGCCTAGATTGTGCACCTGGTGTATGATAAAGTCTAGTTTGGCTCAGATGAGCTTCATAGAAGCTGAGGTCCCCATTTTGCTTTTTAAAGTATAGTTTGATCTTTCCTATGCTAATCTGAGAAGTCAGTTTCTAGTGAAGTTGCCCATAGAATCTATAAACAAAGATCATTATTTCTCCACTAAGTTGCTAGGCTGTCTGTTCCAATACTAGAAGGTATTTTCTAAATATGGAAAGATCGTTTTCCTAACCTGTTCCCAGTTGAAGAAATCAGACAAATTGGGATATTTTCGATAAACTATCAAACATTGTAGAATGTCAGGTAGACCAAAAAGGCAATGATTTTCTTCAGCTCAATGCCTCTTGAGCTATCAGATGTACATGACCAGAATTTTCTTTTTGGTCATAATGTGCCACTTAACATGTTTCTGCCCATAGACTCGAACTATTCATTTCCTGGAAACGTTCCATGGATCAGTAGCCAATATCTTGCAAACCAGCACTGGTGCACAGATCACCAGTGCTGGTAGCACTTCATTAGTTGGGATACTATTATCTATCCATTAAATTTGGGTGCGGCATTTTGCAAGTGTCGTAGCCTTGTAGAAAAGCTGCAAACATTGATTTAAGTTTTCCAATTAAATAGTGACCAATTCAGGAAGAGAACTGTGTGATGGCAAGGATCCAGGAGTCAGTTTTGTTACACAGAAATATCAATATATATGTTGTTCATATCAAGCCATTGGGGGACGTGGGCTAAACAGATTTGAACAGGCTGTGTTTGCATATGGTTTTATCTCTTATTTAATAAAACTCTTTCTATTACTAATAATAAAATGGAATATAATTAGCAGTTACTACCTTATCAGATTCTCTCAACATTAAAACCTGTAGATATTCTTTATGCACATAGTATATTACTTAAAGGTTAGGGAGCCACCTAGGAATTGGCCTGCTGAGTTAAGTTAAAACTTATCCACTCTGTAAACAACACTGAACATGTAGCTCCTTGGCAGAGGAGATGTTTTGCATTCATGTTGTCCTAGGTTAAACCATAAACTTCTTTAGGTCGGACTGTGGGAAGTCTTGGAGAGTTGTTGCCAATTGTAGAAAAATAACTGGGCCCATGAACCCATGATTTGACTTCACAGCAGTTTTCTGTATTTCTGTAAACACTCTTGTCATCCCACATTACCCTGTAGAACAAAATGTATATCTCTGTGTCATTTCTTGAATGTCAAAGCCTCTCTCTTTAAGACAGAAGTTTGCTGCTCTTGAAAATGTTTCTATGTTGTTGTCACAGGTGAGAATGAAGAATATGGGTATTTAGGAGTGAGAGAAATGGTCCTGATACCTGCTAAGAGGAATGCAAACCAAGGCTGAAAGGGGACTAGAGTGGAAGGAGAGAAAGACAAGTGGGAGCAGGGAGAGAAACAAGGAATTGGAGTGAGAAGAAAGTACAGAATTGGACCAGGCTGGGATTTCTAAATGTTGAATATCCACTAGTTAGAACAGAAAACCTTCCAATTAAAGATTTAAACTTTCTAAATTGTGGAATGGAAAGGAAAGGGAGAATATTTTGGAGATTTTTTTACTTAAATGCATAGGTTCATTTAATGTGAAATTGTTCCTAGCAGTAAAATGGAAACCAATTAGATTACCTCCTTCTTTGTGTTTTCCTCTTTTCTTTGTATGCAAGGTTTTAATCTCTATAGTTACTGTAGTGTATCTTTTCATTTTCATAACCATTTATTTATAATGTTATTATGGGAGCTAGTCTGAATATTTTTCAGGAAGGAAAAGGTTTACCTGACAGCATAATTTAGACAAAAAGGTGCTCATTAGTGATGTTTTATAGGGGCAGCTTTACTTTCGGCTGACAGTATATATGCACACACACATGCACAGTATATGTATTAAAAGACTAATCACCTACTGGCTGTTACCTTGACATTAATCTCAAAAAACTATTTATAATATCCACTATACTATTCTCTAGTTTTAGATTACCGAATGATTAGCAACTGCAGATGCTTCACATTAGTGTTGTAAATGTATCCCTTTCCTGTTTATACAGTGTTTATCCTTTCAGTGTATTGGCAAATCTTTTCCCAGAAGTCATTTAATTTCTAATGCATGCGCTGTGTTGAGTCTTAATCCAAGGCCTTCAAAATCCGCAACCTCTTTTAGAGAAAGGCAAGAGCAACACAGCTTCCCATATATATTTTTATCACAACCCTCAGTTAACCTTGGCTCTGCTGATGTCCAGCACTTTTTTTACAAGTGGTATTCATTTATATAACCACTTACAGTGTTCAAAACAAC